CCCCAAAACCCCAAAACCCCAAAACCCCCAAAACCCCCAAAATTCACTATTTTTAAATTTTTATAAAAAATTTAACTTTCTGAACAGTCTGGTTTAAGCACAGAAGAGATTGAGCTATCTATGAGTGGGTGAGTAGAGAGGCTTGAGAGGCTACTTGGCCTGTATGGGAACATGGAGAGGAGGTATGTGACCAGGATGGAGCAGATTAAGGAAGAGATGGATAAAATTAGGAATAAGAGAGATGGAGAGGAAGGGGAGCAAGAGAGGACTGGCAAGTGAGGATGGCAGTTGAAGGGGGTTTGGAAGATTTTGAGAGCCTGGAAGGGGAAAAATAAGTGTGAGAGAGGTAAGGAGGGGTATGGAGTGGAGAAGGTAAGGAAAATATGGGGGTTTATGAAGGGGTTTGGGGAAATTGTGTATTTTGGGGTTATTTCATGGAGAATGTTAAGATCTTGATTCTTAACTGCAATTTTTATACAGTTAAAGTTAAAAAATGCTATATAAAATTAACCTTAGACATTCATGAGTTAAAATCATTCTTCTTCACATCATTGCGAACCTGTTAGTTGATCACGCTCTTGACTTTAGTTTATTCTTGCCTTTATCACTTTGTGTGTCTAGAGATTGAGGTTGAGTCTCTATACCTCTTTCCTTGAGAAATCTAGTACCTTGTATATGCTCAAGAGGCAAAGAATGAATGCATATGAGAGAGAAACAACTCTGAGGGCTTTAAAGTAATTTTCTCAGTTGCTCTGTATGCCCCTATATTGAGAATTCTACTATAATACCTTCTTTTCTCTCCTCAATTTGATATTGCCTTTGTTTTAACTATAGTTTAGGTTAGCCCAAACTCAGAATGTTAACTCAATCACATGTTTAGCCCAGGCCAGATTTAAAGCTCATAGCAAAGAGTATCCTAGCCTAATTTTGACTTTACTATTTTAGCAAAACAGGTTTTCTTACTATGAATTTTTAAGAATAATAGACTCTTCATTGTTTTCATAATTCTCATCAAAGTAGCCTATACTTTGTAATTAGTTTAACCAGAATTTTTAGTCCATATTTTTTACCTGAATCTCTAGATCTCATTCGACATTGGCAATATCTGTTCCTTCAGAGTCTCCACCTTCAGGCTCTGTAGCTCTGACTCTTATTCTTTATTCTCTTCCTGCGTCTGCTTATATATCTAGCTCTTGTAGTTTCTGAGGACGGAGACAAATCTCTGATTCTCCTCTACAGTTTTGATCAGTAACATTCTCACAGGAATTTGCTAAGAAATTCTTAAATAAGACTGCTATCTCTTGAACAGCAATAACTTCCAGCTTCTTAAATATTATAGTGTAATTTTCTCTTTTAAAGAGCGGGTCAGGGATAAATGCCCCAAATTCCTCCTTCATCAAGGCCTTAACTATTTAGTAAGACTCGAAGCCTTCTTATTCAATTGTCAAATCCACTGTCGAGATGGACGCTTCTTTTGGATGCACAGAACATAGTCACCAATCTGTCATTGATAAACCATAATTTCAAGCTTAGTTTTGGAACAATTCAAGACTAGATTTCTCAAAGTAGTGAGAAAAATTGAAATTTGGTCTAAATCCATATATTATCTTTAGGATCAGCTTAATGTCACATTTTGAGGATTCTAAATACCTTATAAAAGCTTTTAAAACTCTTTTGCCCCTATTTAAGAGGTCTAGGATGAGTGTGTGCTAAATAGAGAAGCAGGCAACTTCTTGAGATTTAGGTTAGGAAATAGAGGGTTCTTTACATTTTCAACATGTTTTCTTACATTTGAAATAATTTCTCTAATTTTCATCAATTAATGTATTTATGGAATAAATTGCAAAATTTTTTACATCATTGTTTTGTTTTTTAGTTTCAAAACCACATTTATGAGATTTGAAAATTGGGATTACATTAGAAAGCTCAAACAAACAATGTAGCCTTCCCTCTTATAATATCTTCAACTCTCTCAAAGTTGCAAATCAAAGCTGATGGATTAATAATACTGACTCCAGATAAAAATTATAATATCATTTGTAAATTTAGTTTAGACTTGGTTAAAGTATTAAAGACTTTTTGTCAAAGCTCTTACTTCTAAGAATTAATTCTCACATCTGCTAAATTTCCAAATCTCCCAACCTTTTAACCAGAATAATAGTTTCTGTTTCTTTAGAAATTAACAAATTTACGGAAAATTATGGGCAAACTCAATGGTTTTACCTTAAGATTTAGCTGTAACAAACAAACCGCATAGATATCAGATAATATACTCACTTTTAGACCTTCTTAGCGAATCCCAAAGGAATAATGAACACATCTCAGATTCAAAATTTATGGATCATGACCTCTTGGAAAAGGCAAGAAATAAGTCATTTTGACCCTCTTGGGCTGTAATTGATAAACTTCAACAATAGTCAAATTCTATAACAGCATTAGCATATTGCAGAGCCTTGGACAACATTTTAGACCTTAATGGAAGAGAAATTAATGGAATAGAAAGATATAATGATGTATCCATGAACTTCCTCCAACCAAGGTTTACCTATTTTCTGAAGAAGACCAAGAAGATGCCTCTTCCCTGCGTGAAAAGTGTTCTCATATGTGATATGCTGAAATCCTGTAGGCTTGTGCAGCATTTCCTGAAGAATTGACTTCCCGCATTTGGGATTGAATGATTCAAACTATGCGCTGTAAATCAAATAGATATCAGCTGCTACTTGCTCGAGATCATTAAAACCAGTTATAGAATCAGGGTAACTCTAACCCTGACAAATTTTAAGTAAGGATTTTATCCAAATTGAGGCAGTGATTTAAAATTTTAAGAACTCTCTACTTTAAGTATGGTTTGTCAGCATAAATTAGAAACCTATGTCTCTCATTTAGTCATCTTTTGCAAGGTAAAAAGCCTGTAAAGTATCAGAGAAAACTCTTAGGAGCTTGTAGCAATTGTGCTAGCTTAGAGCATGATTCAGGGTTCAGTTAGATGCACATCCAATATGACTTGGTGGTCTCAGTATAATCATTTATGAATTCAACAGTACGGAGTCTCGTAATTAAAATAATACTATTCATTATTCCTTGATGTAAAGTAAATTCTCCCTTGTTGATAAAATGGGACTTAAACATTTGCTTATCTAAAGCTTTAGTACCAACTTAATCTAATCGACTAAATATCTCTTACGTAAATTTGATTAAACAAAGCTGTGAATTACTATAATTCTTAGTTTTGGTCAAGCATCATCCTTCCTGAGTCATTGAAACTTTATATTTTAGGATAAACGGAGCCCAGCTACAGAAACTTCTATTTGCTAACAGACACAAAGAAGAGATAATTTTTGAGAAATGCAAACTGTGGCTTCAGAAGGCGCCAAGCTTGAGTAAACATCTAAAGGGGACAACCATTCAATATCTGAGTTTGTTCAACTGAGAAGGACCAGACTAGAGAGATTGGATCCAATTTCCTGATGAGTTGAAGAATCTTATCTCTGAGATTTCTAGGAGTGGCTTGAAAGATTCTTTGAGAAAAATTAACTATGATTGGAAAAAGATACTATCTCTCAGTTGGATCGAACAGACTTTCAAGAGATATGGTTTGGATCATGTGAGCATTGGTGGAAAATTCATGCCTCAATAAAGTATTACTCCGTTCAAAACTATATTGGAAATATGAATCATTATTCTTTAGAAAGAAATTTTAAGTCTTGGATAAGAGAAGGTCTTCGAAATATCCTGATGATATCCCATTTCAATCGAGTGACCTCCTATTGGGGTTTTGGGGTTTTGGGGTTTTGGGG